CCCCAAAACCCCAAAACCCCAAAACCCCAAAACCCCAAAACCCCAAAACCCCTTGACAAAAAATTATATTGAAAATAATATAATTTTAGAGCCACTTAATGGAAACAGTCAGAAATTTATTCCAAAAGTTAAAAGACTCCCTCACTTCACTCGGTAAATTATTCAGTAATCTTTAGTCGAGAAAGAAAGAAGAACCAAGGTTTTTGTGTATGGATCGTTTATTGTTATTATTATGGGTGCAGCTACTTATTACTTTTTCATCCAGAAGAGACGTCAGCAGACTGTCTTCCAGAGACAGCTTATTGAACTTAATAATCTAGTATTTACGAGAATTAACAGGAATAAGAATGTGTACCTGCAATCACTATTTCACAGTTTTAATGAGATTTCTGAAGAAGAAAAGAAGAAAACTCAAAAATTACGCAAGAAGAAACTTCGTGAGAGATGTAGACAATCTGACCCACTTCTGCCTCCATTTGAAGTAGGGTACTTCATATCAGATATCAGCAATTCTCATTATCTTATGTTTGATTCTGACCCTATTTTTAAAGGTCAAATGCTCCTTGCAACTAAAGATTTCAGCTATCAAAATTTGCTACTGTCTTCAAAAGATATTGAGGCTTGATTAAGGTTTATTGCATCAACGTCAGGTTTCTGCCTTTACCAAAGCAACGAAAAGGTTGGCGCAAAGTTCAATCACAAGCACATGCACGCCTGACTCCCTGAATCAGACCTTGACCTAATGGAATCTTATACATCAGAAATCTCAAACCGGCGGGCAAATTTCCATAAATACACAGAAGTGATCCATGCTAGCTGCAAATCATTGCCTCCAAAATTCAGCCACATCCTAGTCGGCTTTGAAAAGATAACTCAAAAGCGGAAGTCAATAGCTTTAACCATCGACAACATCCGTGAAAGAGCCAAATCAATTCGTAAATTCTCTTTAATCTCTAGACAAGCTGTATCTTCAGACTCTGGATAGGTTAAAAATCCTGAAAAATGCGTACAAAAAGTCATACATAGTGATCCTGACTGAGGACTGGATGTTAGTAGTGAAGAAAGACTCTCTGAAACAGACTGAAAGCTCAATGTCCCAGAGCACTAGAGCCAAGTACAGGGATATTAGTGAAGATAGGTTTAATGCCTTCACGTTTTGAGGAGTAAGGAGTAAACAGTAGACTAAGATTTTATGGATTTTGGAGAGGGAATTTGGTGGAAAGGAGGGAAAGGAGGGGGAATAGAGCGTTTTAGACATTTTTTGAGCATTTTTCAGACGATTTTGGTATATAGGGTTTGAGGTTTTAGAAAAAATGTTTTTTTAAGGTAAAGGTGTGGATGTGAGTTTTTGAAATTAATGAGTTATCGAAAGAGTTGAAAAGGTAGAAAGTTTGTTAATTTATTAAAACTCTATTGGGGTTTTGGGGTTTTGGGGTTTTGGGG